TTCCTTGGAGCAATGAATAGCCGATGTCATTGGCTTCAATGTCCCCCAACAATATAAGAGAATTTGCTAGCCTATTTGCACAATCTGATCATATAGTTTTAATAAAAAAAATATTAGTCATAACGCATATAATTCAATAATATACAAATTAGATAAATATGTATGATTTATGTTATACTGACTTGATCCACAAACGGATTTTAGATGTGTTTTGAACCAATTGAGTTGTTCGTAAAGAGGAATGGCATATGGTGGGATTTTAACGCCTCTTTGTTTGAAAAACTTGTGGTCGAGCACCGGGCTTCTTGCTACCGAAAATATGACTCCGTTGCTGGAGTTTGCTTCGGGCGTCAAATAAGGTACAATGCGTGGAAAGCCGAAATCAGCAGCTGCACAAGAACTCATCATCACCAATAAGTTACACATGCATATAGATCATGCATGTAAAGTGTAAACAACATATTTAGTTTGTTCATTCACACAACACTAGCTAGTTAACTTCAATTGTGTGAATGGAAAATGATTTAAATCCAATTAATAGTCTAAATTGCAATATTTTATAGGTAACACATACTTAATATACCAAAATTATCACTACTTATCACAGTTATTAGATATTTTAGTAATAGAATAATGCACAAGAGTCAGGAGCATTCACACAATGGAATAGATTTAGATGTGTAATTAGCATATGGCTTTCTAATATAAAACCACATGCATGTGATAATGTTTCACTTTTATAAAATAGGATCTTTTTCACAAATCCATTCATCTAACTTGCATGCTCACACACACAAACACAAACATATATATAATTTGTAATTTTCTTGTATATACCTGCAAAGTCGAAATCAATAAGACCATCGCCCCATCGACCAGTAGGGTAACCGGGGTACGACCGGCCATAAGGCAATCGTGCAGCTGGAAGCGAAGGTCCCCAAGGGAGAACCCGAATTGAATTGCCTACGTCAGTAACTTCATCACCAAGATGGTACAAATATTGATACGGACACACAGTATTTTGTGACGAAATCGTGCCAACGAAAAGAATTAAAAAAGCAATAGCAAGCTTCGCAAAATAGTAAGAACTAGAAGTATCCATGATTAATAATAATAGTAACTTGGTATTTGATCCTCTTTAGCTAATGTTGCTCTAATTTTCTTCGCTTGTTTGTGCTCATAACAAATGGGTTGCATGCTGTTTATATAGGCAAACTTTAGCCACCAAGTTGGATTATAATATGCATTAAAAAATTTATAGACCCAACTGGCGCTAAATTTGGCCTTTTACGAGTTCAAATTTAGGAGTTAGTTAAGATGTATATAATATATGATTTCTGACTTTAGGTTATAAATCAAACCGTATTTATTCAAATGTCAACGAGGGAACTATTAATGGAACTGTTTCAAATTAATTTACCGCGTGTCTTTATTTATTTTTAAATTTTATAGTTTTCAGTTGAATACGTCCTGATGAGTATTGGAGATAATGGGCAATATACATATAAATCTGACCAAAATTTATGGGGAATTATTAATTTTTTTTATAATTTTTTTTTTCCATCTATAAAGTTGACAAAAGAAATTAAAACGCAATGTCACTAAAAAACAATTTGTAGTTTACGAAGAACGAATCAAAATTAATTATTCAACATTAGCTTTAAGAAAAAATCATTTATATATATATATATATTTTTGAACTTAAGTAAGAACTAATCAAATTTATTCTACAAACATGATAAGAAAGAAGCTATCCCGAAATCTCCTGCCCAAATTCCCAATGTTGTATGAAAATACCAATTTTGAAAGTACAAATCTAATGAGCCAATTCAATTATTTTGACTTTTGTGCTCGTGCGATGAACAGACTAATTTTATTAAGGTAAGCATTTAAATTTGGATGAATGAATGCTTAGAAAAGTAAAACGCATGAATTGGAATAACACAAAATGTAACTTATACGTTATTATATTAAACACACTTTTGTACACAATATTATTTGTTTGGTCTTTTGGTACACAGTCTATGCATTGAAAGCCAAATATAACAGAGATTGTAAAACCTCTTTCTTGATAATATATAGCCGTATTATTTTAAAATTATAAATTACTTAATTTAAAGAAGAGAAAAATTGTGTTAGTGTATGCAGTCAATTTCAATTTTGTATTCTAGATGATTAAACAAAATCCTTAGGATGTTTCAATTCGATTTCATTTTGAATTTCAAATGATATTATTTGACTTTGTTTTATGTTTAAAAAAAATCTGAACTAAAGAAAGTAGTATCCAAATGATAAGGAACTTTTAAATTTAATTTTTAATTTGAAATTGGGCTGGATTTCTCTATGCAATTTATTTTTTTAATAAACATGATTTGTTGCAGTTAGGTAAAGAGTTATAGTATTTTGTCTAATTCGAAATTTTTGATTTTTATGGTAAACAAATATTTTCAATAAAAAATGAGAAAATTTTGACTTTTACAAAATTGTCATAACGAATTTTACCTCAAATAACCAGATTTCTGTGCAATTTGATTTTTTTTTTTATATAAAAAAATGTTTGTTGCAATTAGGAAAAGATATGTAGTATGTGATAACATTTTGTCTAATTCGAAATTGTCGATTTTATGCTAATCAATTTTTTTAATAAAAAAATGAGAAAGAGTTTTGACTTTTGCAAAATTGTAAGCATCAGTCAAAATTTACCTAAATTAAATCCATAAAACCCATGAATTTAGGATGCATATATAGCAGATCGATTTTTTCAGAATAATTGAAAAATAAAATTAAAAAGCTGCCAAAAATAGAATACAATAAATGTTTTAGTTGACTTTTTTATTATTATTTTTGGTGAACAGGTTTCTCTTTATATATGTATAGATTTGATTACAGATTAGTACATTGCAAACTACAATATTTGCCATAAATTTAGCAAGTAAATAAAATGATTTTGCTATATATATGTGGCTAGTCATCGAATGATACCACTTATGAAATCATCCATATATAATTATTTACAAATATATTAAGACACGGATCAATACATATGGCTTCACCTAATTTTTGCCTTCTTTCATAAATTTGACGTAATTTTATAATTGACCATATTAATATTAGATATTTAACCCAAACGTCATCGCACGTTATGCAGCATTGCAGCTTATACTATGTAAACTTATTATTTTTCATTAGATATACGCGTTATTAATTTTCTCAAAATGACATGATATTGACCTCAAAACAATTTTTTTATTTTGCAGAAAAATTCTCTTGAAGAACCCAAATTATGGTCAAGCAAATTTTGAATAAACGGTTTTGAATTTCACGGGTTACTTGAAAAAGTGATTATTTGACATTTTTTTTTATTTTATTTTATTTCTCCGAAGCCCAATCTATGACGTAAGACAGACGAGCCTAGCTTGAATCCACAAAAAGACAAAATGTGGATATATATTATATATAATATGGTGAGTCAACTCATCCATTGATACCCAAAGTCCAAAGATCGAGTTGAATTGTACAACTCGGTGCGGAGCCAATGAAAATTCAAACCCTCAAATTGTAAGTAAAATGTTTAGGACCTTTTCGGTTGTGTGATTTGGCGACTAGATAGTGAACGAAACTTCGAAAAGTCTTCCTTTGAGAACGACCCGAGGTCGGGTAACTCGGTTACCAATTACCCAAAAATACTACAAACAGTTGCGCGCACGGGCTATGCGGGGGCTGGTTCGCGTGTCCACCAAGCTTTGACCTGGCCGATCGGTCAGGAATTTTCTGATGAATTTTTCGCCAAGTATTCGGGCACTTTTCCAGCGGCTCTCCGGAGTGCATTTTCCTAAAAATAGAAGATAACAAAGAGAAATAAAATGCATAAGACACCAAATTGACACAAAAGTACAAAAACGAACAAAAGTGACTAAATAAATTGAGAAAAACCTAAAATAAACTAAAACGAGCACAAATTAAACACTCAGAAACACATAAAATAACAACAAAAACATAAAAAATAATTCCTCACACTTAGTAATTTTCTTGTCCTCAAGCAAACAATCCCGCTGACCTTTCGAAAAGATAAAAGTAAGAGAATGTAAATAATTAAAACTTGATTTGTCGCACGTTCCGAACGGAATGACATATCAAATCATAATCGACTCGAACTCCAAAGGATATAAAAGTGACAAAACAATTCACCATTTCGCGGCTCAAGTCTCCATTATAATCATTTTTCTATTTTTTTTAACAGAAATGCATACTTGTTTTATGAAATGTCACACTTTTATTTATTTTATTTATTAAATATTAATATTTCAATTTAAAAGTATTAATATTTATTAGAAAAAGTATTATTACTACAATATCCTTTTAATTAGAAAGTATGCATATCTATTAGAAAAAATATTATTCTTCCAATATCCTTATGTTACATAACATTATGTTCCTAATTAGTGTATTTTAGAAACATGAAAAATATTATTTTGCAACATATATATAGTTCAGATTAATGGAGATAGAATATTAGAAATAAACACCATTAACCAACCATATCCTTGAAACAGAAACTCATATAGAATTGAAATCATCTGATTACAATTTGCTTCATAATCAAACATTCAACCATACATAACTTCATATAGATTGAAATCATTTGATTACAATCTTGAGCCATGGCCTTAACAAACCATGATAAACAGAAAACGTAATACAAACTTCATTCACTTATTATTAGATATTTCATAATGATGAAATCTGGTACTTTAATTGATAATTGCCAATTGACATATAATGCATATTTAACGGCCCTCGGTTAAATGTGTAGAAATCTTAAGCCCATGCAAAGTTAGGATGCACAGTTGAGCGTCGCGAGAGCCGGTTGGATGAGAATCGACTCGATACGATGGGAGGCCTCTTGCGTCAAATGCAAGCCATCCCAGAATATGTAATTGTCCGGATCAGGACAAACAGGCACACCTCGGCTCCCACAAAACCTTTTGCTGTTGAAATTGTATTTCCCTCCGATTCCACAACAAGCTTTCAACGCATTGCTTCTGTGTGGCCCTGTTACATAACAACATATAATAGAAAATGTTAAGGTTTCCGAAAAAGGTAAACAATGACAAAAAATATCAAAAGACAACACTCAAGCTCAAATTACACACAACCCATGTCAAAATATTTCATAACGATGAAAGATCCATGAAAAATATATCCTCTGTACTAGCTATATGTAGAAAAAATGAGGTGTATTTAACTTGCCTGCCATAAACTGGGTAAGATATTGTCGCACGCCATCGTCAAATGCGCCGTAAAATAAGCTGACATCGGGAAACTCTGTTCTAAGTTTTGCAATAGCTTGTTGGAGATCGTTGTTTTTAAATGTCATCAGATCGTTTACGCTTTTAAGACAACCGAATTCATCGTAAGCTTTCGGATCATTGCTTGGGAATGCAGTTAGGATATAAGGAAAGCATCCGATTGGAGCATTTCCTGGGATTATTAGTTGCCTTGCGCCCATGTTGATGAGCTCCTGTATGAACCATTTCAATTAATTATGTGCTCTATACATATACATATATTTTTATATAAGTTTTATTTAAGAATATGAAATTAACATAGATATATGTACATACCCTTGTAACATTTATTTGAGCTTGTGTTATATAGGGCACATAAGTCTGTGCTTCTTTGATGGATTTTCCTTGGAGCAATGAATAGCCAATGTCATTGGCTTCAATGTCCCCCAACAATATAAGAGAATTTGCTAGCCTATTTGCACAATCTGATCATATAGTTTTAATAAAAATATTAGTCATAACGCGTACAATACAATAATTTATGAATTAAATAAATATGTATGATTTATGTTATACTAACTTGATCCACAAACGGATTTTAGATGTGTTTTGAACCAATTGAGTTGTTCGTAAAGAGGAATGGCATATGGTGGGATTTTAACGCCTCTTTGTTTGAAAAACTTGTGGTCGAGCACCGGGCTTCTTGCTACCGAAAATATGACTCCGTTGCTGGAGTTTGCTTCGGGCGTCAAATAAGGTACGATGCGTGGGAAGCCGAAATCAGCAGCTGCACAAAAAATCATCATCACCAATAAGTTACATATAACATAATTAGATTGTTCATTCATACAACACTAGCTAGTTAACTTCAATTGTGTGAATGGAAAATGATTTAAACCTAATTAATAGTCTAAATTGTAAAGTTCTATAGGTAACCATACTTAATAATCCAAAATTATCACTACTAACTTACTAAGAGAATGATAGTTATTAGATATATTACTATTCAAAAGAGCGTTCTATAGGTAACCATACTTAAAATTCCAAAATTATCACTACTTAAAGAATGATAGTTATTAGATATTTTACTAATAGAATAATGTACAAGAGCATGCACACAATGGAATAAATTTAGATGTGTAATTAGTATATGGCTTTGTTATTACCACATGAATGTGATTAATATTTCACTTATATAAAATAGTCTAAAAGTCTTTTTCAAAAATCCATTCATTTTACATGCATATATACCTGCAAAGTCGAAATCAATACGACCATCGCCCCACCGACCAGTAGGGTAACCAGGGTACGACCGGCCATAAGGCAATCGTGCGGCCGGAAGTGAAGGTCCCCAAGGGAGAACTCGAATAGAATTGCCCACGTCAGTAACTCCATCACCAAGATGGTACAAATACTGATACGGACACACGGTATTTTGTGACGAAATCGTGCCAACGAAAAGAATCAAAAAAGCAAAAGCAAGCTTGGCAAAGTGGGAAGAACAAGAACTATCCATGACTAATATCCTCTCTATCTAATGTTGTTCTAATTGCCTTCGATTGTTTGTGATCATAACAATGGGTTGTATATGCAGTTTATATAGGTAACCTTTAGCCACCAAGTTGGGATTATAATATTCATTAAAAAAATGTATAGCCCAACTGGCGCTAAATTTGGCCTTTTACAATTTCAAATTTAGGAGTTAGAATATTAAGATGAATGTAATATGATTTCTGACTTTATGTTATAAATGTCAACTAGGGAACTAATAAAATTGTTTCAAATTAATTTAACGCGTGTCTTTATTTATATTTAAATTTTTATAATTTTCAGTTGAATACGTCCTGATGAGTTGGTTATTGGAGAGAGTGGGCAATATACATATAAACTTGACCCAAAATTATCGGGAATTATTGAATATTTTTCCATCTCTATAAAGCTGATCACAAAAGAATGAAAATGCGATTTTTTAAAATAATAATTTGGATTGGCAAATCTGCTCATGAGTCAGTTGACCTCGCAATTTCTCGTCGCTACAGTTTTTTTTGGTAGCCAATCACGGTGTCCGGAGCTTTGCCCCGATTAATCCGTTGGTCGACCCGAGTCTCACACCTGACAATAGTGGGTGAGTCTCCCAACAAGGGTTTTTTGCATTCACAAGGACTCGAACTTGAGATCTTGCTTAAGCGACATCAAGTTACTTACCATTCGAGTCAACCCCTGTTGGTCTAGTCGCTACAAATGAATAAATATGAGAAAAAAAATCATCTATATTTTTTGAGTTTACGTAAGAAAGAATTAAATTATTCAACAAACGTGACAAGAAAGAAGCTGTAAGAAATTTCATTTATATATATTTTGATTTACGTATGAAGTAAGAACCAATCAAAATTATTCTACAGACACTATAAACAAAGGAGCTATATCTCGAAATCACCTTCCCATATTTTTTTTTTAATTATAGTGCCTTTTACCTTTTGTTGGTACATGTATATGAAATTAAAAAAAAATAATAATAATAATAATAAAAATAATAAATAATAATAATAATAATAATAATAATAATAAATAATAATAATAATAATAATAATAATAATAATAATAATAATAATAATAATAATAATAATAATAATAATAATAATAATGTATGTTATTGCATGTAATAGTTACATATGTCAACAAAGAATTAGTTAACCAATCATAATAATATTTATTAATAAATATCTGACGATTCAAAAAAAATATATGATAGTTATATATACGATGATTTCATCGACCATTATTAAATTATATACTTAGAAAACACATAACATACGCATCAATCTATAATCATCTGACTTTGGCTTTAGTTCGCAGTCGCTACAGCTTTAGTGGGAAGGGTTTTCTGCGAATTTTGTGAAGAATTCACTCCCCAATAGAATGAGAGATCAATGAATGAATTATATTAATCCTATTGTTTTTAAATGTCATTTTTGCTTTATCAACCATTAACTAAATAAATAACATTTTGGATCTTTTGTACATATTTTTTCATTATTATTCTCATTAATTTAGTTATAGATACATTACGCATTTTCATATTCACTTTTCATTTTTTCTCAAAACATTCATCTCTATTTTCATCAAAGAAGGTTATTATTGACAAAAAAAATATTCTTAATTATTGTGCAACTTCTCAAAATACACTTATTATGAATAGGAGGGAGTAAAAATTTATGTTTCCCTAAATCCTCTCGCAGGCGATTTCCTCTCATACCCTACA